TCCTAGTTTTAACTATTTGCTTCACTTATAATAATCCTCTGCCACCTGATTTTCGGGGCAGGTATAGTCTATCAGTGTCACTACTGTTGTTGTGATAATAATAATAAATTGTAATGCTGCTGCAGAAATCTAGCAGTAACTTCTAAATAAAAGTCATTAGATCAAAAGCAAAAAGTTAAAACTAGGAAGATTTTTTAAAGTGTTATAGTGCCTTAAAGAACAAATAAATCTGTAGGATGAAAAACTGGCAGGCATTGTTCCTCTAAATCATACATTGTTCAGAGGCCAGACACTGTGATTCCAAAGAACAAATGAAGCCATAGACCGGAAAAAACATTTCACCAACTCTTCTGCTCTGTGTTGCTCTGAAAGCAGCTGCAAACCATACCAGGTTTCTGTCAGTGTGAGGCCTTCAAATATCAGTGGCAGATTGACAACAGCAATGAAAACAGTAACTTCTCAGAGAAGTCTGAGGGCCTCATGTGTTTGGACCATATTATTTTTCCTCATTCCAGAATAAGCAAATAAGAGCAAAGGAAGAAGCCAGCCAGCTGATCCCCCCCCCCTTATGGAAGGAATGTTGATTTCTCTGTTTTTTGTACTCTAATTCATAAATGTTGATGACATTTGTGAACTGATTTTGAAATATTTGAGTCTGAAATGTATGTGTATATGTGTGTGTATAGTATGTACACCGACATATACGTCTGTTTAAAAAAGGTAGTTTACTGCAGTATCACAGTGGCACAAACTGAAAATTCTTCTTGATTCATGATTATTTTATAAAACTTAGTTTCAAAACACCGTAAGTTCCTTTTCTACATTTTGCACATAAATTGATACAAAAATAATCAATAGATTTTCTGATAGCTATATTTTTAAGAGCTATGATTATAAAAATGTAATTTGCCTAAAATCTACCAGAGGTTTCATAGGAATAAATGCATGTGTAAATATATTTTAGCATTTCATATAGTATATAAACTGAATGCAGCAGCAATTATAATAGACTTAATATTACATTTTGATTAAATTTTTCCTTTTTTTCAGAAAACGGAATAATCAAATCAGATAAAGTATTTGAAGTAATGCTTACAACAGACCGAAGCCATTATGCAAAATGCAACCCATATATGGATTCACCTCAGTCAATAGGTATAACCACATATAGTCTGTCAGATTAACTATCTAAATGTTTGATTTTCTTAAAGATTCTGAATGTGAGTCTGCTTTCTGTATGCTTCAAAAATGTATCATGGTTTTAGAAAAAGAGCAAAAAAAGCTAAAATAATCAGAGAATATACAAGAAATTAGTAATGCAGAAAAACAGCTGCAGAAGAACATAATAGAAATGTGTGGAAATTATTATTATAGTGTAGGAGTGCTGAAATGTATTTTTCTAGCCCCCAAATTAATTATTTAGGATTCATGCTTTCAGATGGTTATAAAAATTATATGAGATGCCAGATTTGTCAATGGTACTTAGTCATCATGACCAAATTCAGTCTCTGTGTTCTGAGGCAATATAGAATATAGAATAGAACAGAATTACAGATTTGGGGGTCTTCTAGTCCAACTCCCTGAATATTTCTGAATGTGTGGAACATATAGCAAATCATTATCTTCGTGTTCTGCTTCTGAATTGTTTTCATTCATGAATGTTTTATCTGTCGCTGTTGGAAGCAAGAAGCTGTAAAAATGGATTTGTAATCTAATATTTATTAGAAACCTCTCCCACATTTATTCATATATATTGATTTGTGATGCAAATTCTATGTTCTTGGGTACCTTTTGCAAATAAGACCTGAAAATATGGACTGGATTAATGTATTACAGTTAGCTATAATTTGTTTCATTGTGATTTAGTGTATATAAAGCTGTGTGGTATAAAGCTACCATATAGTGGTAACTGGGGTTTATAGTACTTGCACAGTGTGCAAATGAAGCATTTGGGGAATCAGTATAGTTAGTATAATTACTATCTAGCTGTACCTTTTCTTTAATAATCACTTTATAATTATGATAAAAGTTATAATTTGATAATAATTTGAAGATATTTAGATTCCCAACAAAAGTGTAAGGTTTCAGTTTGGGTTTGCAATACGGAAACAAAAGGAAAAAAACGTTCTCAATATTCATGACCTAATTCAGGAACAAAACTATGTCAAGACAAGATAATGGTTGGTTCAGTGAACTTTGTAATGTTCTTAATGGCATACCAGCATACCTTAGAAAAGCTGGAGAAATTGGAGAAATTCATTTTTTTTTACTACCGGTTCTGTGGATGTGGCTTGGTGGGTGTGGCAGGGGAAGGATACTGTAAAATCTCCATTCCCATCCCACTCTGGGGCTAGCTAGAGATGGTATTTGCCGGTTCTCTGAACTAATCAACATTTCCACTACTGGGTCTCCAGAACCTGCTGAATTTCATCCCTGGCCTTTTCCCATATTCATATTTTCCATATATGGAGGTTTTTTTTAAATTAAAGAACAAAAATTAGTGCTGCTCATACAGAATCAGAAACTTACAGATTTTCAAAATATTTTAACATGATTGCTTCTTCAAAATCAGGTCTTATTGGACAAATCATTTGCTGCATAAAGCAGGAACAGTAGAATAGTTACAGAAAGATTAGAAAGAACATATATCATGGAAAAGTGATTATATGGAGGTATAAGCTGTTTTTGCTGCATGAATTAGAAGAGTGATTTTATTCCTTCATTGCAATTGTTTCTATGAGTGAATTATTCAACAAGCCTATGCTTGGAGTCACACATTGTGTTAAGTCAAAATGTGATTTGTTTGGCTTACTGTAATATATGAACATTGGGGTACTATTAATTTTTCACTTAAAAAAAAGTTATGTCTGTCAATCTTTTTTTAAAAGTCAAAAGTTGGCTGGGCCATAGTACCCCAATGTTCATATATTACACTAAGTCAAACAAACCACATTTTGAATGTGTGCGTGTGTGTGTTTGTATAAAATATATAAATCCAATATATAAATGAACTTTCATTAGTATTGGCATTTGGTAGTGGTAGATAGTTTATATATAATTTAAATTTCTTTAATGCTACAAGCATAGGCTTTCAATGGGGTGACAGATGAGGATAAATGACAACACATACATCATGATGTTTTACAAATGACAAAATGTATAATTGATGCATCAATTACTAACCAGTTACCTAATCTTTTCTGTAATAATTTGTGTAATTATGTACTTTTATTTTGATGATAGTTTGTAATAAAAGCCTAATAATAGATGTAAATATAGTTATTTTAATTTTATAAAATTTGAAAATGCTAACAAATGGCCTCAGAATTAATTAACTGTTCCATCCAGAAAAGTTGAAACTGCTTCTGTCTTTGATTTCAAATTTCTGCTAGTTTACATTTCATGTCAGTTAATTTTTTTTTACAGTTTGATATTTTTTCTGAATGTTGCTGGCTCTTTATTGTAGAAAGCACATTTTTTAAAATAAATATCAATGCTAAAATTACTAAAATTACTTTTCAGCAACCTGGATTCTTTGTCAAATATTTTTGTATACTTGCTAGGAAAATTATGCTAAAATATGAATTTTCTGTAAATTTCTGCCTCCATACCACTGACTAGAATTGGAGCAGATAGTAGAGCTGATATAATGAAGTTAGAATATTTGGGGCTGGAGACGTCATCTGTTATGAAACTGTAATTATTTCTTAGCCTAATATATGTCACCACATAGTTGTAATAATAACATGAGAGTGGGTGGAAATGCCGTATCCTTCTTTTAATTCCTGAAGAAAAGGAAATGTAATTAAATGAAAATATCCAACTGCACTCAATGTAGTCCTCAATAGAACTGCATCTTCATGGAAAGAAGTATGCAGTGGAGTACCTCAAGACTCTGTTTTGGGCCCAGTACTCTTCAACATCTTCATCAATGATTTGGATGAGAGAATAAATGGGGAACTCATCAAATTTGCAGATGACATCAAGCTGGCAAGAATAGCCAACACTCCAGAAGACAGGATTAAGATACAGAAGGATCTTGACAAACTTGAACATTGGGCACTATCTAATAAAATGAAATTCAATGGTGAAAAGAGTAAGGTTCTACATTTAGGCAACAAAAATGAAATGCACAGGTACAGTATAGGCGGTACCTTGCTCAACAGTAGTAACTATGAAAAGGACCTTGGAGTCCTAGTGGACAACCATTTAAATATGAGCCAGCAGTGTGCAGCAGCTGCCAAAAAAGCCAACACATTCTAGGCTGCTTAAACAGAGGGATAGAATCAAGATCACGTGAAGTGTTAATACCACTTTATAATGCCTTGGTAAGGCCACACTTGAAATACTGCATTCAGTTTTGGTCACCACGATGTAGAAAAGATGTGGATACTCTAGAAAGAGTGCAGAGAAGAGCAACAAAGATGATTAGGGGACTGGAGACTAAAACATATGAAGAACTGTTGCAGGAACTGGGTGTAGAAAGAAGGACTAGGGGAGACATGATAGCAGTGTTCCAGTATCTCAGGGGTTGCCACAAAGAAGATGGAGTCAAACTATTTTCCAAGGCATCTGAGGGTAGAACAAAAAGCATGGATGGAAACTAATCAAGGAGAGAAGCAACTTAGAACTGAGGAGAAATTTCCTGACAGTTAGAACAATTAATCATTGGAACAGCTTGCCTCCAGAAGTTGTGAATGCCCCAACACTGGAAGTCTTCAAGAAGATGTTGGATAGCCATTTGTCTGAAACGGTATAGGGTTTCCTGCCTAGGCAGGGGGTTGGACTAGAAGACCTCCAAGGTCCCTTCCAACTCTGCTAATGTATTGTATTGTATTATCTTACAGTTGTATGCATTTAACGGAAGAATGACAAATTACACGTGAAACAGCAAAAAGAAAAATACGACATTTAGGCTGGAGTATTTTATGTAATGATTTCAATCAATTACACTGAATTTAGTTTTCAAACAAAGCTTATTTAAATGGAAGGCAAGTCTTTTTTTAAAAACACCAGTCGGCATGGTTATTTCTGATCTATTTTTATCCCTAAGAAAATAAATGTTACACAATAGTTGTGGAGCTTATTAAATTAAGATCATTTCTTAAACTGCATGTAAATAATGCATAAATGTCCATTTGTATCATTTTTATTTTACCTATAGGAAATTAAAACAGAATAAGAATCACTTCCAAGCAAGTGAATATAATAGTTACAATTGTTATTAAATCAATTCAGAAGGTTTGGTTGAAAAAAAGATTTTGATATTTTTTCCTGAGGCAATTTCCAATAAATAATGTAATTGTTAAAAATACAAGTATGCTGAAGTGGACATTGTGAATACATTTAAATAAATAATTAAAATCTGATGGTAATCAAGTAGATATAAGACAAGGAGATGAAATAAAAATAACAGCTATGGAAATAGTGTTACAAAATATTTCATTGTAGAAAGTTGAAAAAGAATGTAAGGAAAAGGATGCAGTTGACAAGAATCCATAAGCTATATGTTCATGTACATGAAGTCACTAGGAATTGAATTCGATTCTGATATTTTAGGAATATTTAGCACATATTTAACATTTCCCAATCCAAGACCATGTTCTACAATGATTCTTATTTGTTTTTTCCTACTCATTTAGTTAGATGGTAGCTGGCTGAAACACATCTACTAGCTGAATCTTATTTACTTGAAAATGCTTGATATTACTCAAAAATTTTTCTTTGCCTTGCAGGATTTCAAGCAACAATCAGTGCTCCACACATGGTAAGTCTTCGATTCCTAACTACTGCAATTCCATACTTTAAATCTTGCATCTTCATTTTAACTGCCAATGTAATGGTTTTAAAGTAATGAAACTCTTATGTTAACCTCAAATATTGATAATTTATTGTTACAGAAGCCTCATGTTATGAGAGAGCATTTATTTAATATTGGAATGTAATGTATGTGTTAATCCTCTAAATTCCACAGGTCTATTCATTTCAGCACAAATCAAACCATTTCCGAATAGCATATTCTTTGTCCTAGTTTGGAAAGTCTTTACAAATATAGTTAGAGGAATGTGCCTTCTTGTGTAACCTGCCTACTTCTTTTTCATTATGTCATCCTGTTCTTTATTCACATTTTAATTGCCTAATATTAAAAAGATCTTGGGTGCTTCAAAGCAGACAGCATCTATTGATACCAGCCAAAGGGATTTTGCAATTTCCTCAACAAATTTTCTATAATTTAATAAAAAGAAAATAGAAAAAGCTGTAGGAAAATATTGAATGAGAAAAATAGAAGATGTCATCTGAAACTACTTGTACAATTACACGAGTGAGACAGATTGACAAAAATATAGCCTAGAAATAATATCTTTTAACATTTCAGTAGTGCTTTTTAAATTGTTTTACTACTTTATACATTAATGAAATTCATGCAGTTGTTTGAGAGAAAATACAAGTAGTTCTTGGGTTATGTCCATTTATTTAAAGTTCAAAGTTACAGCAGCACTGAAAACATGTACTTACATGTGGTCCTGGCACTTAAGATCATTGCAGCATTCCCATGGTTACATGATCAACATTCAGGCACCTAGTGACTGGCCTGCATTTATGACTCACAGCAACCTGTGATCACATTCTCCTGCCTTGCACAAACTATCTTTGCTTCAATTCCTTTCATCTGCCCATCCCCCACACCCTCAATCACTTCCCTTTTGGCTGCCCTGCACAGCATGTTTCAGATGAGACCACTGTATGCTGTTGCTGCCACAACCCCCAGCTGTTCGTCTTCTCACCTCTCTGGTTGTCACACACCTTTTTCGGTCTGCTCCACTTCAACAGTCAGCTTGCTGCCAGTCAAATGGGCTCTGCACATGCTGTACATTTCTACCTCACACAAAGAAGTTTGTATACTACCCTGAAGAAAGGAAGGAGCTCTACTAGAAAGGAAAGGTGGTGGACCACAAATCTTATACACACCTTATACTTCTGCTGGCCAGGGTAATCTGCCTGCTGGGCAGTGAGGTAATGCCTTCCCCTTGGCTGCCTGGCTGCCTTGTCTTGCACAATATAGTTATCTTCTAGATATATGATTTATTGATGATTTTGGGGTTTTAAGCTTTCTTTAGAACATTTTTTTCTAGGTCTAGGTTCATTTGGCACTGGTATTTTTTAAGCTTATGGATTCAAATTGGGTAGCTCTAGATGGAAAGGGGGAAGGGGATTTTAGAAGTACTCTTTTCTTTCAGTTGGCAAAGTTGTGTATTCAGAGTACCCATTTCAGATATAGTAGTAAAGCCCTGATCTTATATTTGATATATTTTTAAATTGCATTTACTTAATGAATTTTATGAGTTTGCCTTGAAATTTTAATGTAAAAACTATGATAATATTTGAGATAGCCACCTGTCTGTTTCAGTTTAAATACGGTTTTCTTTTTAGCATTTAAAATATGTTTCAATCTTTATAAAAACAGATTTAATGGTCGGCAGAATCAAAGTAAAATAGGTTTTTTTATTCTTTTTAATTAGCATGCATATGCTCTAGAACTACTATATGAACAGTTACATGAAGGAGCCAAAGCCCTTGATGTAGGATCTGGAAGTGGTATTCTTTCTTCATGCTTTGCCCGGATGGTGAGAAATAAATCAAATGTTTTGCTTTTGTTAATCAACAGAGTAATTATTTGTTTTAATTTTTAGAGAGCTTTAGAAAACTGTTACAAGGGTTTAGTTTTTTAAATTAAGACTATTCCTTTATACTCACAAAGTGTTTTTGCACTTTGACTAGCTCTACCCAAGTTATCTGGTCTACAAAATATTTCCTTCAAGAAAATGCATAAAACTGGAATAGCTAAAACCAGCTAATTGACGTTCAAAAGTTAATCTCACCTAATAGTTTAAACTATTTGAAAGTTAAAAATCCTAAAAAATAAATAGTAAGAATAGTAAGTAATTCCAAGTAATTTATACACTAAACTGGTATCTAGTATCTCATTCAAAACATTTTAGAACTAGAAATCAAGCAGGCATTTGGGGTGCTGTGCATTGTGAGGCATGCAATATCTGTTCATCTCCTGTGACAGTAATCTCTAGACTTGGAAACTACAACTACTATGTTTCTCTGAAAATAAGACAGGGTCTTATTTTCTTTTGACACCCCCCCAAAAAAAATAAGTGCTTGGCCTTATTTTCAGGGAGGTCTTACTATTTTTGAGGTGCAGGAGGCAGTGAGCATGCTCACCTCATGGCTGCTGCTGTATTGCAATATTTTCAGGGAGGGCTTATTTTCAGGGGAGGGCTTATTTTAGCACATGTGCTCAAAAGCCCGATTGGGTTTATTATCCAGGGAGGTCTTATTTTGGGGGAAACAGGGTAGCAACATTTATTTTTAGTAATAATTTCAAATGTTTAATTTTACATAGTCTTTCTTTTGTTTGTTTTCTAGTAAGAATATAAGAACTGTTACTTTTATTGATTGAAACCAATTGGTACCCTTATTACATCTTTTCAGTGGCATCTGTATGGGGGCAAGGATGGCTGGCAAGGATATACGTAACTGGCAACATATTTTACCTCTATCAATAATAATCCTTTTGATCTTGTTTCAGGTTGGTCCCAAAGGACAAGTTGTAGGAATTGATCATATCAAAGAATTAGTTGATGATTCAATAAATAACGTCAAAAAGGATGACCCTCTATTGCTGTCTTCAGGAAGAGTGAAACTAATTGGTAAGTACTAGAAAATATTACAATGAAATAAATATAGATTACATTGCATAGTGTAGCATTTAAATTTTGTGTTAATAAATTAGGTTACATTCTCTTGTTCTTTATTTTTTTAATTAAATAAATTTATATAACTACTTGATCAAAAAGATTCAGGATGGCATATAGATTAAAAAAAACCAAAACATAGGAATGTTAATATTTTTTTTTCAAAAAAAGCAAAAATGGTCTCACACAAGGCAATTACATAAATTGAAAACAGCCAGAATAATCAGTGAAAATAACACATCCTGACTAAAGGAGAAGAGGAACAGCTAGGGGCCATCTGAATTTTGCTGGAAATGCTCTTCTTTAAGTCAGACATAGCAACAAAGAGAAAACTGTTTTCCCAAATGACATTATTTAAACAATGAGACCCTGCTTTTTACCATAGCAGAAGATATCCCAACGATTGTGGAGTTAAACAGCATTTTTTTGGAAAAAAAACAACTATTAGCAAACAATCATTATGAACTTCTGTGGCCTCCAAATCTGACATATCTTGCAGGACACTTGAAATCTCTCTTTTTCCACAAAGATTTAGTTAATATGTGCTTGAACAAGGTTGTTTATTCCTTCTGGCTAGTGTTGTGAACTAAAACGGACAAGGACAGCAGTTATAGATTGTAAATTGTGTTTATCGATGAAACCTATCCATATAATCCTAGGAAAGTGCATTATGTTAGAAATATTTATAACATGCTATTCTCCAACCTTAATCATTTACACTATGAATTCTAGTTGGTAATACTATCAAAAATTAAATGATGATTTTTTAAATTACATTTGAAGTTTCATGTCAATTAATTTTGATATTTCATAAAAATGTTTAATCCTTTAAGTAGAAATTTAGTACTTTGACCATTAATATTAAATTATTTATTATTTGTATTATAAATTCTTAATATTATTTTTCTTTCAGTGGGGGATGGAAGATTGGGATATCCAGAAGAAGCTCCATATGATGCTATTCATGTTGGAGCTGCGGCACCTGTTGTACCACAAGCAGTAAGTAATACACGTGTGTGTGTGTGTGTGTGTGTGTGTGTTTGTGTTTGTATTTGTGAGAGATAGGTGTACTTTGCACCAAATCTCTTAAGTAAAGAGGGTTAAGAATTAGCTTACACATGGTTTAAATATGTTTTAATTGATTTCTTAATAGCATAAATATATTGCAGAGATGGAAATTTAATTAAATATACTAAACTTATTAAATCTGGAATTTGAGGCTATAATATGTTTGAGTTTTAAAAAGCTTTTAGCAGCCCCAGCTCAAATTCCATTCATTTTTATATAGGTTCATGAAGATGAAGGTTCTACAAATTGCTTTCTACTTCCTACTTCCTTTCCTTTTTAATTTCCCCAAATTTATATTTCAACTATGATGGAGTAAAGAATAGAAAGAGGTTGAATTGTTCTTCTAATCTTAATAGGGCTGAAACTATTTCAGTCAATTTTTCAGTACAGTAATTATTGCAGTAGGAGTTATTGTTTTTCAGTTCTATATATTGCAAAACTGTTGATTTTGTACATTGTGGTATTAATAATATTTTTTATTTATAGCTTATAGATCAATTAAAACCTGGTGGAAGATTAATATTACCCGTTGGGCCTGCTGGAGGAAACCAGATGTTGGAACAATACGATAAGCTAGAAGATGGCAGTGTCAAAATGAAACCTCTGATGGGAGTGATATATGTGCCTTTAACAGATAAGGAGAAGCAGTGGTCCAGGTGGAAGTGATTTTCAGTTCGACTTTCTCCTTCCATATACTTGCATATACAAGGTGAAACTCTCTTGATTCTTAAGAGGGTAGCTTGTCACTGCATCATTTGTTGTCACTACTGCTTTGTTCTTGATTATGCATTTGAAGTTTTGCATTGCTGCATAACCATGCAGGTTTTTTTAATGTGCAACATTAAAAGGTAAAAAAAAAGAATTGCATGAATTGCATGTTATTTCAATATAATCTATTTTTAAATATTCTGTAGTATAAACTAAATAATAATCTCCATTGCTTAAAAGTATTCCCTAAATTCAAAACTCTTTTTTCTTCCTAGGTCTGGTTTCAACAGAATAAAATGTAAAATGGAGTTTGGTAATCTCAGTAGGTTCAGAAAATAATTTATTTCCCAGTCATTAAAAAATGAAACACAGCTCATAAATCTAGAGGAAACAACAGAAATGATACCTTCTAATTTCAACTAAGCTGTTTTGGAGAAGCATGTTATGCTTACAAAAACTGCTGAGCCAAATTCTTTATATTTGCATGTATCAAAATATTTCTTTTAAGTGTGATAAATATTGTGTGGTCTTCTTCAAGCTGACAGATTGTTCTTCCTTTTTAACTATGTTTTTTTAAATAACTCAGATGATTTATCCAAGCTTGCTAATTACCCAGTAATACAAAGCAGACATAAGTATAGTCAGCATAAAACACTTGTCAGTTATTCGTTTATAAATAAGTAAACCAGCAATCTCACTTTGTTACTGGCCTAGAAATGATATAATATTGATTTTTTACTAGTTGTAAAGCACCTGTGCTTAATTAATTATTATTCTATGCATAAAATATATCCATATCCTATGCTTGAGGCTACAACACAGAGTTGAGGAGAATCCTGTGACAATAGTGGAAGATGACTAATATGGGATTGCATTCCATCCTCATGTGTATTGGTCCTTCCATGCTTTTATATCTAGTGCAGGCTTGTAGGATATTATTTATTTCAAAGCTTAGGATTTGCCTAATATATTTTCATAACCAATTACTTTGAAGTATATTTTTCTTATTGTTGCTATAATTAATTTTCTGTATGGTGGGGGAAGGGGCAAGCCTATACATATCTATTTTAGGTAACACAAGTGCTTCACTTCGTTATAAATAAATATTGGTAACAGATGGTGCTCTCATTCATCCCTCTGCTCTCAGTTACATATCTGCTTATAATATCACGACTGGTCTTAGACAGGAATAGGCATTTTTGAAATATTCTATTGTAACTTGGAACAGTAGCTAATGGGGAAATATGGAAAAGAGGAAAAAAGCAAATCTCTCACTCTAGTAAATTATAAGGAAGATTGCTGTCTAATCTCTTATACACAAAATTATTGCTTTATTTTATGGAATTATGAAAGTGGCTAAATAAAGCTTTTTTTTAAAAAAACGTTTTTTTATTTTAATTGAACAAAAACACAAAAAAAGAATCATCCTTCATTACATCTTGTAGAAAACGTGTTGATTGGTTACAGGTAACTTTGGTGCATTTCTTCCACAGTTATTACTTATAATTCATATTACATTATACACTTTAAATCTAAAATCTTTGTATATCTTACTATCAATGTATCACAATTCTCATTTGACTACAACTATTTGAACATGTTTTACCTCAAATCATTCATACGTAAAGACACAACCACAAAATGGCATTCATTTCAAAAAATCCTCCAATAACATTACACCTTTATGACATCTTTTAAGTAAAAGTCAATTAATAAAGTTTCTAAACCTTTCCCTCCCTTTCCCCCCCCAACTCACTGTTTAGAATTTATATCCAAGTTACTTTTGCCAATACCATAGCATGTATATATTGTTAAACAATGTCCATTGACATTTCCTTATTATTATAATTGGCTAAAATCATTTACTATTTATGTCCCATCTCCTCTCGTCAGACCCCCCCCCCAAAAAAAAACCTTAGACCTTTATAACAAGATCTAAATAAAAAAATGTTAATAAAATGTATAGGTCTTTTTCCCAAGTCACAATTTGCAATTTATATCCAAATTTCTTTTACTAGTTTGCCAATACATGTATATATCACTAAGCTGTATCCATTATCATTTCATTAATGTTGTTATAGTTAATTATTTGTTAACAAATAAACATTTATTAACACTCTAAAACAATTTAAGAGTTACAAAATTCCTACTTATTAATCACCAAAATCAACTAATTTTTTATTATCAACTTTCATTGTTAACCTGTATCTTTCCAGTAACAAAACAGTCTTATCACTCTTGCCAATTGTGGTGTCAGTCTTCTTTTTATCTCCTTTATAAGGTTTTTATAGACTTCTCTCCGTACTTTGTTGCTTAAAGGATCTCTCAAGTAATCTCGTTGCCCACCAGCTGCTACTAAAATTAACTTGTCTTTGGTTGTCAATCTTGCTTCTGAAAAAAATCCTCTTAAGTCCATCATCATTACCATTTTTTTTCTTCTGTATCCTGGAATCTGGGGTAGAGCTCCAATTCGTCGAATTCCCTTTTCCATATTCCCTTCTTTCCACTTTCACCCAGATTTGCTCCATTAATAAATTCATCTATTGTCTTATCTTTATCTTCTATATCTTCATTCTCCCCTTTAATTTTGGGGGCTCCAACCCCATCAACTTTTGCTGTGAGGAAGACCAGTCTTTCTAACTTCTTCTCAATTCTCCCATATCCTCCCAATAGATTTTGAATTCCAGCCAAGATATTTTGGAATTTTAAGGTTTCCTCATCTGAATATTGATCCATGTTTCCAAAATAGAAGAAAGAAAGAAAGAAAGAAAGAAAGAAAGAAAGAAAGAAAGAAAGAAAGAAAGAAAGAAAGAAAAGTAATAGCCACTGCCACTCTAGCCTTCCAGGCCTCTTTTATTTTTTTATTTTAGATTGACTTGAACACAAGTTATTTTATGCTCTTCAAAGGAGAAGGGTTCTGTTTCCCCCCCTTTCTTTTCCCTGCCAAAATAGTTTTCAAAGGCACCTGAGAAAACAATTCATGCCCTTGACTCTTTATCAGTTCCTGTGAACAAGTTGCAAACTCTTCAGCTACTAAATCAGTGAAATCAAAGAAGAGAAGAGATACGTTGTTTCAAAAACCCTAGCCTCTGACCTCCGAGTGGCAGTGTGCTACTTTTTACTTTCTAATATTTATCTCTGGCTTATAGGAAACAAAGTTCTTTAGATTTCTTTTAGTGAAATTTAATAACAAGTAGTAGGAAGAATTGTTAAAATAAGAAGGTTTTAATCCAGAAGACAAAAAATAAAGCAACAAAAAACAGAAGAAAAAAAAAATCAATCAGTTATTTTGCTTAAGGATCTAATTTGGCTTTAAAGAAAAATTTCTTTGGGCAATCTTTTGCAAAATAGAAAAAAATACCTCACCAGATGGACTCACTTTCTCTTTTTACTTCCTTCCTTCTGGAGCGTCCCGATTTCATCAGCCTGGGGGCTGCCTGTTTACCGCTGGCTTGAAGCACTTTCCTTGGGTCGATCAGGGACTTGCAATGTCCCTGAGACCAGCAAAGCTTCGTCTTCCTGATCAACGTCTCTATGGGATGGTTTGGGTCTCAATGGACCGTCCGGTGTCAATGGTGGTATCGGAGTATCGAGACCGCATGTTGTGACATCGTGACGTGGCTCCTCCTTCTCCCAAAGCTTTTCTGAGTCATGCAATAGAGATATCTCATTTCCAGGAAAACTTGAGCCAGAATCCTTTTAGCTTATTGAAGACTAACAGAAAGTCCAGGTTTGAAATTAAGTACCAAAATGTTTATAGATAAGCATCTGATGATGATTGAATTATAAAAATACTACACCATCCATTAATTCAAATATTGTTTAAAGAACTTGGAAACCAACCAAGTAGAAGAAAACGTCTTTACAGAACATCAGTTTATACTATGGAAGAAAAAAACTATCAACCAAGGTAGTGAAGAAAATAGCTTAGCTTTACTATAATATTTCATGAACATATTTTATTATAGCATGGGTAAACTAGTTAGTAGATTGCTTCTATTTCTCTTAATTTTCATTAACAAACTTCCTGCCGTGTATCAGCTCAAAGCTTTGTCAGAAGACCTATTAGGTTTGGATTAGTCTGCATAGTAATTTCTCTAATATTCTAGTTTAGGGTGGGTAATCTGATAACATTCAGGTATTCTGGGCTGTATTTCCCAAAAGGCCAGCTAGAAAAGCTGTGGGAAGATACTATGAAAATATAATTGTAGCCCAAAACACAGAGATATTAAGATTGCCTTTACCTATCCTGCTTCGATGATATATTTCATTAGTCATCAAATAGTTTGGAATAACTTCACAAACTTGAAACATACATTTTTTATTAGATTCAGCATAAACTTTTAAACATTTTAATTGAACCTCAGCAAAGAAAATTTGGAAAAAAAATGTATCTTGTTTTCAGCTTCTGAATTATACATTGCTTGTGCAAAGCAAAATTTAAAACTATTGTGTACAGTATGTGGTGATTAAAAAAATACTAATTAGTACAGAATCAGGGCTGCAAGTTACAACCTCAAATCCATAATCCTTCATGCTGCTCTTCTTTTATCTTTCCCTTATTGTTTTTTTCTGTGATAGCTGCCATCATTATATTGCATGTATCTCTGTCTGCCTTCTTTCCTTTTTGTCCTATAATTTGAATCTGGAATTTCCACTTAGTCCATAATTTATGCTGCACTTTTCATTGCACCTCCATCTGTGTTTATAATAAATGGCTATGAATTATACTTTAGCCATATGAAAGCTTTTAATTCATAGCTGAAATTTAAGGGTCCTAGGGTAAGAATCTTATGCAATTTTGAGAAATTAAAATCGTAATTTTATGCTCCTTTTCCTTGGAGTGAGTACTATCAGATTCAGTGTATTTGATGCAGTATTTGCTCCCACTTATGAAAAGGTTTTATTTTTGCTTTGGGCACTTGATGCTTTCTGAATGTCTTTTGTAAAATATAATCAGAAGTGAATTTTGATGCTTTGGGGAAGAAGATCAGCAAAGGATGTATCTTTTTGTCAGTGATCCACTGCTTCTAGTGGATAGAAGGGTCCTTTCATTTGTCAGACCACAAAGTCTGGATTCAGCCCTTTGGGATTTACTGCTGAGTAGATTCAGATGTAAATTGAATTATTGTTTTTTTGAATTTTCAATATTATACCAGACTATTCCTTTTGACAGTGGCAGATTTTGACAACTGACTTTCAATATTATTTCTAAATTAGAAAATTGCCCTAAATCTCATATTATTACTGAGATTTATGTCTTGAGAGAGAGGTATTTTCAAAATATTAGGCTTAAAACTTTTTATTTTGGCAATCTATAGTATATAGTATATCCAATGGTATGAACTACTCAAAAAATTGTGATCCTAGTTTATGTGAATTTGGGAAAGACAAAAAAAAATTTGGAAGTTGGAAGGCACCATATTTTTCGGAGTATAAGACACACCAGAGTATAAGACTCAGCAAGGTTTTGAAGAGGAAAATACAAAAGTGTTTTTGCACTCTGCAAACCTCCCAAAAACGGCCCATCCCCCCCCCCCAAAAGGCATGAATAGCCTTTAGGGAGCTTGCAGAGTGCTCCTGTGGGGTGACCCCCCAAAACGAGCAAAAAGGGCCCATTTTTTGTTTAAAAAGGGGCATGGATAGCCTCTAGGAAGTTTATAGAGTGCTCCTGGGGCTGGGTGTGTGTAAAAGTGAGCAAAAAACGGTGCTAATTTCTGCGTTCCCAGCCCCCAGGAGCTCTCTAAAAGCTTCCTACAAGCTATGCACGGCCATTTTGGTGAAGGGGTGGGGTTTCGGGAGGCAAAAAATGCTCTATTCAGTGTATAAGACGCACCCAGATTTTCAGCCTCTTTTTTGAGGGGAAAAAGGTGGGTCTTATACTCAGAAAAATACGGTAGTTGGCATGGAATCTGCAGCAAATATAAATACCTGTCTACTGAATATAATTTTGTTCTATATGTACTGCATTGGGCAAATTCCAGAATTGAATTAGACCTCATGCAAAAGCATGGACAGCATTCCTGCACTTCATTGATAAAAGTTGACTTCATTTTTCAATCTTTTGTAAAACAGTAATGGTTTAGGATTTTGTTTTCTCATCTTTCATGTCCATTCAATTATCTCCTTTGTTTCGGTTTTGCATGTTCTAGTCTGTATTAGTGTACTGTACTTGCAAGTATATGCATTTTGGATTGTGGAATGTATTGGGTGTGGATGCATATGTGTATGTATCAGTTATGCACACACATGCCTCTCTGTACCAATCGCTTCCATGGGTTGTTTTATATATTTGGTATTGGGGTCTAAACTGCGCAGTCATATATTTAATTTATATTTTGAAAAGTCTTAAAGGCAGCAATAGTAGAAAATCAAGTAAAGGTTTTTGATCACTATTCCATTTTTTATTGTAAATGGCAGAGATGGGTTGCTGCTGGTTTGGATCAGATTGGGTGAACCGGTAGTAATGGTGGTGGGAGGCTCCACCCACCCGCCCAGATGCTTCTGCGTGTGTGTAGATGTGTCACGTGCAAGCGCGCGTCTACGAACAAATCAGTAGTAAAAATAATAGAAACCCACCATTGGTAAATGGTATTTAACCTCTCTTATAGAAGCTGCACATCCTTGCTTTAAAATCTATTGGTAATATAGGCGTTAAGCTGGTTTGATACTTTATATTTGAATAAGAAAGCCATTTTGGACATTTCGTAATATTTTATTGAAATACATGCAGTGTAACTTTCCATTCTTAGAAGACATTGTACCTTCTGCCAATAAACATGTCTGTTGCAGAGGGTAAGTAACATTTCAAATCTGAGAGGCTGAAGTTAGAATTAACATTTTCAAAGCAGAAACACTGGCCCATGTTAATGAATATTTTGCTTTTGACAACCAATCCTATTTAATGTTATTTAAGGTATTGGGCAGTAGTAGAAATGACAGGAGGAGATAATCTTTTTTCTTGCTGCTTTTCTGATCCTTTTCCATATTAAATCTAATTTAGCTTATAATAGTTTTCATTTGTGAAGGCAGAATCCAGTTTCTCTAGAGGTAAATACTTTTATCAAAATTCTGCAATAAAATTTTGAACTCAGATTTCCCATTATGCAGCATTTTGCACAGGTATTGAATAATTGGACCATAGTTGCAAGTGGATCACTACTGTAAATGGTCTGCAACATTCATGTCTTCAGAAAAACAAAGGTAGCCACATAATTTTTTAAATTGATGACATTTTTACTGACATTTCCATGAAGTATATGAAGGAATAGGGAGTATTTCATTTAAAAATCATATTTTGTTTTGTTTAATGTGACTGTTATTTTGATGCTGACCATTTGGTTCAGTATGTGAATCCAAAGTTTTCAGCAGTACCTGAAAGTGAGCTGATTTTTAAGAAATATATGTTTAAATATGTGTTCTTTCGATTTTGCAGGGATGAAATATAAAAGCTACAACATCTGATCCAAACATAGTGTTAACAGTGGACTGCTCATCTCCAATTCTTAAAAGCTTTTTCCAAACCAACAGCATTGCAGCTTGTTTTGGACTGTGTTACACTGTTATCAGCATGGAAAAGTGGTTTTGTTTTGTTTTTTTAATTTTGTAGAGGTTTAATGCGAGTTTGATAATGGACTGATGGGAAAAAATTAAACTTGGGCAAATTGTTTCGTTTTAATATGCCCTTATTTCATCTGTTAGTGATATATGTCTGCAGATAAGCAGATGTATCTGCAATTTATCTCCTTTTATTTTTCAATTTGGAAACTTTCCAATCATTTCAGCTCCAGTGTTTGTTCATCAAACTGCTTACCTGCACTTTCTTATGCTATCTGCACACTTAAGATTTGTGTTCCGCTGACTCTTAGATCCTACTAAAATGAGATGACTTTCTTCAAAGCTATCAACGTATTTATAGACTAGCATGTAGCAGATACAATCAGCAGCTTTTCTTCTCATACAGGAAATCAGACATGTATATACACTTGGAAGCATCGACAAGGATAAAATTTATTTTATGTTGCTGTTCAGGATGGACATAACTAACATAGTTCCCCTCCTTTCCCTGTAGCATAGCAAAGAAATTCATAGCTGAGTATTATTTCTAGCTGATTTACAGACTTGAAGTATCTGAGTGTAATATAACAATTACTGTGTAAGTTATGTCCTAAACATTGAACAGTTCACAGTGCTGCTTTGCCAAATAAAATCAAAAGCAAAAAGGTGTGGCAAATAATGTTTTGAATAGAGATATCTTGGGTAATTGAGAGGTTGCTAAATGTTTCTACCAATAGTTCACTTTCCCCAATATAGAAGTTTTCCTCCAGGGTACTCATCTTGCATTGGAAAAACTGTACTGATCAACCAGCTTCAGAGTTTCTGCAATGTCTCAGAAAACATCTACAAATATTACAAAGAATAAATAATCCAACCCATCAACTTTTAACAGATACTGTGATAGAAGCGTGTGCTTTATAATCAACTGTTATTCCATATGATAGCAATATCAATTTCATTGATGAATAAGCCTACACATTTCTATAACAATTTCTGAAGACTTTTGTCTATTACGTTCAGTGAAAATGAGTATATACACTTATCATTCAAGGCAAGCCCAATGATTCTGATTTTAAAATGCAATTCAAGTTTAAGCCATCTTCATAGCAATAAGAAGCCATTTGAAAAATATGTGAATACACAAAAGTGTTAATACTGTATCACTGCTGATCTAATTGGGAAGCCATTTTAGTGTATTGCTTTGGACAAAATAATTTATTTGGGATTTGATTAGAATAACTTTGAGAAAAAGGAAGCTTTTAAAAAAAACTTAACCTCAAGTCTTCTGAAAGAGATGCAAATTCTGCTCTTTACTTAACTGAATAAAAAGAACTTTTCTCCCTCATTTTCATTATCACCAATTAGAGTGACAAAAATATATTTTATTTAAATAACCCAAAGACCTATAAATAGTTTCATACATTTAATTTATCATAGTTGTTTAACAGTTGATTTGTTGTCAATGACTGTAATTTATGAAGCCATATAACTATTATAGACAAATATATAGGGTAGTAAAAAGTAATCTGAAATACTTTGGGTGTAGCATCCATTATTTAATTTTCTAGAACTACTCCTGCATATATTGAATTAACTCTAAATAAATAAATATTTGATAATTATAGAGGAGTCATCTTTAAAATGTTACTTGAATTATTGAAATCATGACTTCATAAGGCCTTTATAAAACATGAGCTAATGCAAGTTTGGGGAAATAGCTAGGTATAAGCATTATAAACAGATTTTAAATTTAAAACAGTTCATGTTGTTACACAATTCTTGGAAGAAATCTGCTATGGCCAGTCAGAAATAAAAGAAGCAAAAAACCAACAACATTTGAGAGAAATAAAGAACTAATTGTTTTGCAGATAATATGAATCATTGTGCAGAATGTTGAAATCTGGAGATGAATATACTGGCATTATTGTGTTTGCAAGAACTGCTCTTCATGTTTTGGTGTTTAAATCCTCAGCTTTCAATTAGTGGCACATATAAAGCATCAGAAAACAGAAGAGAATGGACTCTCCATTATAAACAATATAGTCCTACTAAGATCTTTTGTGTTATATGTGAAAATAGAAAAAATACTTTTAGGCAAGCCAGTCTTCATTATGTATGATTTTTTTTTGTTTTAGATCTACTTAAATTGACTTAAAAGAATTCTAGTTTTCATCAGGGCTTCACAGTGTGTAATGACTCCTTGTTTTCCTACTATTCTGCAAAACGATTGGTGCACAATGCAGCATAATTTGGCAAAGTATTGTATTGAATGTAGGGAGGGCTGACATAGGGAAGGATAGTGAGTCTTAGTACTGAAATAGAGAATGTCTTTGGGAAAAAAAACAAACTGTGATATATTAAGCAGCAAACAACATTTGTGTTGATATGGATCAATAAAAATAGAAGATTTTATCTTACAATTCTAGCTTTTCCATGTTAGGTTTTAATGAAAAACCTGACTATGAGCATATCAGAGTATTTTTTGATGATTCTGTCACTCCATTTTATTCAAATACCTGTATCCATGCTCCAGTCCACTGGAAGTGAATTAGGAAGCACATCTTTTTATTACTTGAGAAAAGAGACTGCTTTTAGAACTAGAGAGCACTTTGGATCTGAGGAGGAAAAAAGCTTCAAAGCACAAAAAGACATGTATGTAATACCTCTTGACAATTTTAAAGCAACTGTGACTTTTCCTGGAACTGCAATTGTCATTCATAACTGCAATCCTGGGAAAAGACACATTTAGTTTAATGTGTTGTCAACAAGTGCTACATTCAGGCCTGTGCACACTTAAATGTTTTTTTCCTTTGAATCTGAAATGCTTTACAACCCTATTTAGGAAGTACCTGTCACATTTAATGTCTTTATCTCCAAATCCAGATGAATCAGCTGACTTAAAAAAAAGCAAAATCAGTATTTTTATTAAATGCTCAAAATTAATGTTCTCAAGAAATTGAATCTAGATATGAAAGGTATTATGACTAAAACTGATTTATTTTTTATGTTTCTTAGCTCAACATTTGTAATGTCATCATTAAAATAAGACATACCAAATTCTTGAATGTCTTTTCTGAACTGATTTGTACCTGGTCCCTCAGATGATAACATATTTTATATGTTTGGTGAAGAGAAAAGATAGCTTACAATAACTGATACACAGAATAAATAATTTGCAATATAGCATAAGCCAAGGCATATTTTTAGTCCTTTAGACAATTGGATGAATAACTGATGAAACTTAACAATTTTGCCACAAGGGTTCAGTAACCAGGACTTAAAGTTTTATGAAAAGTTTACTAGTTAAAACTGCAATATGTTGCTAAATTTATTCTCTGAGCTACTTCTGTGTGACAGTTAACAGAATTCTGAGGTTAATATCAGTATTACAAACTTCAGGCATATTTTTTGTTGTTGATAGAAGCAATACCCCCTACAACGGAATAACTACAGAATAGGGAACAGTTTCAACTCTTTATCTAAATTCTAGGCTTTAGGAATTTAGTATTTAAGGAACCTTTTAAAATAGAACACCTTTCCCCTGTTGTCCGTTATTTGCCCTTAGCAATCTGAGATTCTATTGCCTATATAGCCTGGCCACCTTACCATATATACTTCAATAGAAAAGGTAAATACCCACATAGAATGGTAAGCAAGAAGTGTTTTAAAACAAGAAGGCAGGTAAACAAAGGATTTCTGACTTGGCTATTTCAGCATTTGAAATTATATAAACTAAATGAGTAGATAAATTAGTGTTATTTTTTTTACTAACAACTTGTTTGAAATTGCTAAATTGTACTGCTAATTTATTGATGGCTTACTTGTACTGCTACTTTTAATTAGGAATGTGTAGCGCTTCAGGTTCAGTTCCAATAAGGTGCTTTGGAGTAAACAAAAACATTGAATAAAGGATTGAACATTGAATAAAGGATTTTCTGCAACTCTTTAACACATGTATGTTTCCTTTGCAGCTTCCCATGAGCCTACATATGGCTGCTTTAAAGAATTGTGGATGCATACAGTACTTAATTCATATGTCTGTGTACTCTGAAGATTAGAGTTACAGATATTCTTAGTGTTTGAAAAAGGCAGAAATGAAAATAGAAAATATTGAAAAGCTGTAAGAAAGAAATATAAGCCTAAGGTTATATTTATCTCCAACATTGGAAGATTAAAATAGAGCAGGTAATTTAAGTAATATGGTGAAACTGTCATGCCTTCCTCAGAGATAAAAGGGAGACTAAAATTGGTGCTCCTCTGCAAACAAAAGATTTCCAATGCATAAGTTGAGACTGCAATTTCCCATAGGTGATTTAGGACTGTCTGATTACAGTTGAGCAGAGTCTGTACAGAGCAAAGTACTGTGGATGTCAGAATGTCATGTGACATAATGAGAACTGTATGCCTGATTTCCTAGTTCATTAAGAGGAGTGGGTTGCTTCATAGCCATCTAACTGAAATCAATGATTTTTCAGGTGTAATGACATCATCGCACACAGGATGCAAATTGTGTCATTTTTATCACTCACAACATATTACACATGATGCACAGTACATCATTTCCATCATGTATTCTCCCATGCATCCTCTGACCCCAGCCTATGGGAACCAATAGGATGTTTTTAGGTGTACAGTGTCTCTCCACATTCATTGTAGAAAAGGAAGCTGAAGCGTGAACTCCAAATCTCCATGTTTATATTCCAAGTGCAATTTTTCATGGGAAAATACTTTGACTAGATCATAATATCACATTAAAAGAAAAGCAAACTCTATTTAAAGAGTTTGGAAAGTAATGCCCTATAATGAGTCAAAGCTCTAAAAAAATACATATTTGGATTAGATGTGACTGCTGTATCGGTATCTGCTGTGATGTGGACCACTGCAACAGGACGTCATGCTATTGCAGGAGCACAGATTAACCACTAGCTTCCAGTATTTTAAATTGGGTTTTATCACCATACAAAACCAATTCGCAAAACAGAAATGGTGTAAAACGAGAATAAGTTTAAAAGAAAATCTTTTGTACACTAAATGTATTTTAAGCTATAGTAGCATTGCACTTGTTCACTAGTAATGGGATTTTGTTTCTGTGGGATTGCAACAGATAAACTAGATTAGCTCATATGTCCATTATAGCCTATTAATAATTCCATACTAGAGTAATCCCATACTAGAGCCTCCAGTTGGCTTGGGAAAGAAAGGCATTGTCAGATCAAAACACTGGAGGACACCGTGTTGGTGAAAGCTAGCGTGTGCCATTACAACTCTCTACATCAGTGTTTCCTAACTTTAGTAATTTGAAGGGGTGTTAACTTCAACTCCTGGAATTCCACACTGGCTGGGGAACTCCAGGAGTTGAAATCCCCACTTGTTCAAGTTGCCAAGTTTGAAAAACAAATGGTGTTCATCTATCATAGGCCTTGAAAGAAAATTTTGGGAAGATGGCTGCTTATTTTGGTAACACAGTTTTCACTTTTAAAAAGAGAATTGTGAGATACAAGAGGCACACTTTTGTGAGAAAGCTTGATAGCAAAAAAAGTATCCTGAATCTTGCTCTAGTCTAGAGATACATTCCATTTATGAGGTAATCTGACTCCTCAGATGTAGTAGGTCGCGCTTTCTTTAATTTCTGCCGGGCTAACCGCAAACGGCAAGTGACCATGAGTAGCAGCAAAGCAGTGATGGCTAACCCCAAAGCCAGTGGAAGTACAGCACCTAAAAAGAGTGAGAAGCAGAATGTACTAAGTAGGCAGTCAATTCATAGATAAGACAGGAGCATCATATTAGCCAAATAAATAATTTACATTCCTGAGGATTTCCCAAAGCTGAACCACTTAACTGGAGATGAGAATATCTGCTCTATCAGGACATAGTCATGAGGGTGGCATAATATGACATTTCAACAGTTCATATACTGTGGATGATGCCTTTTGCTTCATGATGATTCACTTTTGTATATTTCTGTGTCTTGACACAGAATAAATCAGTTGAAAAAAACCCCACATCTTTACCTGTTTCTGGGACTGGAAGGCTCTTTTCAATCTGAGTGCTCTTTAAGCTCACAATATCATTGTCATTCTTATCTGTGTCTTTCCCTGAGATTCTAGAATCTGTAAAAACAAAACAATGCATCACCAATATATATTTCAGTAGCCGACGGGCTTCAATCATGTCACGTGACATATCACAATGTTTTTGGCCTTTGCAGAGCAGGGGTGGGCATGGCCTGCCTGTGACATATCTAGCCCATGTTTGACACCTTTTGAGTAGCAGATAAATTACATCACAACATTCAAGAACTATGTCTTACGTTAGATAATGTAATAAAACTAGTTTCTTTATAGCTTGTAAAGAAATAACTATATTGCCAAAAGTATTCGCTCACCTGCCTTTACTCGCATATGAACTTACTGTAAGTAACATCCCATTCCAAATCCATAGGGTTCAATATGACGTCGGTCCACCCTTTGCAGCTATAATAGCGTCAACTCTTCTGGGAAGGCTGTCCATATGGTATAGGAGTGTGTTTATGGGAATTTTTGACCATTCTTCCAGAAGCGCGTTTGTGAGGTAACACACTGATGCTGGACGAGTTTACGTGGCCTACCACTTGTTCTTATAATACAGCTGACAGTTGACTGTGGAATATATAGGAGCAAGGAAATTTCACGACTGGATTTGTTGCACAGATGGCATCCTATCATAGTTCCACTCTGGAATTCACTGAGCTCCTGAGAGAGACCCATTCTTTCACAAATGTTTGTAAAAACAGTCTGCATGCCTAGGTACTTGATTTTATACACCTGTGGCCATGGAAGTGATTGGAACACCTGATTCTGATTATTTGGATGGGTGAGCGAATACTTTTGGCAATATAGTGTATCTTTTATTTGTGGACTATCATATTTGTACTCTGAGACCCTCTTCTAGCTGAGATTTTAACATAACTAGGTAAATGATCCTTTTTTTATGACCCAATTGACTGGATCATGGTGCTTTTACGTAACTTGACTTGCTTGGGGCTTCATTTGATGTGAATTATTTATTGGGAAGTTACCTAATGCTCACTTCTGAGAGTAAGATGTCACCAACATGAAAAAGGCAGAGTTAGGTGTGAGGTAAGAACCTTTTCTGATTGTCTATTGTAGCAGTGACTCTGGATGCACCACTTTAAAAAAAAAACTTTTAAAAAGGGGGGATGTAAAATAACTGGTAAGGTATGGCATAGTATCTTCTTTAACAGTGGTTGAAAGGAATTGTTTTTTTAAAAAAAGATGGCTATTGAGAGATGGACACTGAAAATTTAGAATAAATTGTGCCAACACAACAAAGTTGAAACAGTTAACATGGGAAAAAATAGTTGGTTGTTCTTAAGAACATAGCCACAAAAGCAGAGACTTAGTTTTACTATATGCAGCTGAGCTCCCACCACATATGTTTGTTTAGGTACTGTTCACTAAATAAGCCATAGTTTACATATTCAGCCCTAAAGCAATTATTATATTATAATTTAGCCCAGAACAACTATCTTGATTATGAGTGTTTTGGTAGGGAGCCTTCAAAGTGACACTTTCAAAATGAACAGAGTATAGCACAATTTAGTTTAGTCAGTAAACTTGACCAATAAGCTTGAAGAAGTAGTTCTACCTAAGAATGATGGCTGACTGCTCTACAAATTCTTTTTCTGTTCTTAGAATTTGAAAATTGGAAATATTGAAAAATGTTCACCTTACAGTCTAGACAAAGTAAATGACAGGGGCCCAGAGAGTGAGATGACCATTTTCAAACTAGTAATGTTAAATGATAATTTTTTTTAATTTGGCAAATACTGCCAAGCCCACCTAGATAAAGTTTAAAAAAATCAGTATTTGATGCCATTCTAATATTTACATGCTATGCAAATCTATCCATTACCATGATAGATTTTATGACAGACAGATCTGCACTTTAGCAGACTGCAAAGGTATTATATTCTTAAGCTTTCTGTCAAATCTTTCTCCATCAATAGAAGGATTGCTAAAATACAACTGGGATTCCAATTGGACTACAAAGCAAAGTGTTATGTTATGCTATGTTATGTTGTGCCACTTCCCTACCCCAGGTGACTGATTACCATGAACTTTTACACATTCAGCAAGACAGTCAGATTCTTGAAGAAAGTTGTTTTCATTGCCTTTGCAACCACCATAGATGAAATGCATGCAAGTGCCTGAAAAAGCATCAAAATGCCAGCGAGGGAGGTGTTTGTTGCATGAGCCAGTGGCTAGGGGGAGCAAACACTGCTCTGTAATTATAAGAGGAAAAATAGATTAAATCCTTGCAACTATCCTTAACATATGAAAATCAGACAGCAGTTAGGTTTTATAATATACTAGCTGATAACTCAGCATTGCCCAGGTATTTATTTATAGGGGGGAAATGTCCAGACCAAATGTAATTTCTAATGTTGGATTTTCCCCCTTATCAGAGGGAACCCCGTTGTGGACTACTGTGAAGCCATTACCATGGCAATGCCATTGCGCTGTACAGTAGAATCCAGTATGGCAGTACAACAAGTTGTATCTTAACAGAACACACACCCTGAAGGGTGTTAGGGATGTCTTATCCCCACAGTATTTGTTTCCAGAGAGTAGGTCATCTGTGTACCAAGTTTGGTTGAAATTGCTTCAGGTGTTCCACAGTTATGCTGCAACATACACACACAGATGTTTATATACATATATATAATTTGGAATACATTACCATAATTTAAACAAAGACTATAACAAAATACAGAATCTTGTCCTTGTCCCTTTTGTTGACCTGAAAAGAATCTTTCCAGCCACAGTTCCCAAATGCAGCCATTTAAGTATGTTGCCTTCCCCCTCTGAATTTAACAGAATCCAACACCTGGAAGTGTCTATCTATTTCTACCCACTTCATTC